GCCCCATGCTGGATCCACCTTGTACACCCACACGCTCTGCAACATGCCCCATCCACCTACCCAGTGCATGCAGAACAATGCGGCCCAGTACCTACATTTACGATCACTCAACACGCACCTGCCCCTTCACCCACAGCAGCCCCCTCGCCGGTTCCACCTTGTACACCCACACGCTCTGCACCGTGCGCTGCTTGTTGCCCATCTGCCCCGCCATCTTCTTGTTCTTGAACACCTGTGGGGTTAAGACAGGGGGAGGGGAAGCGCAAAGAGTGGGGAAAGAGCAGGGGAGGAACTAAGGCGCTACTTGTTGCCCATCTGTCCTGCCATCTTCTTGTTCTTGAACACCTGGGGGGGGGGGAAGAGAAGGAGCAGGGGGAGCAGGGGGAGTAAGGGGAGCAGGGGGAGTAAGGGGAGCAGGGGGAGAAAGGGGAGCAGGGGGAGTAAGGGGAGCAGGGGGAGTAAGGGGAGCAGGGGGAGTAAGGGAGGGGGAGTAAGGGGAGCAGGGGGAGTAAGGGGAGCAGGGGGAGTAAGGGGAGCAGGGGGAGTAAGGGGAGCAGGGGGAGTAAGGGGAGCAGGGGGAGTAAGGAGAGCAGGGGGAGTAAGGAGAGCAGGGGGAGTAAGGAGAGCAGGGGGAGTAAGGAGAGCAGGGTTATGATGGGGAAAAAGAGAGGGAGGGGAACTTGGTACATGAGATGCACTGTGCACTGCTCGTTGCCCATCTGCCCCGCCATCTTCTTCTTCTTCTTGAACACCTGCGTGGAGCAAAGGGAGCAGGGGTGCAGGGGAGCAGGGGGAACAGGGGAGCAGGGGGAACAGGGGAGCAGGGGGAACAGGGGGAGCACGGGGAACAGGGGGAGCAGGGGGTGCAGGAAAATAATGGGGACAAGTAATGTGCAAGCGTAACAATTGGTAATTAGCATTTATAGGATCGTTTTGTTCCTAAACACCAGCGAGGGAGGAGGGGTCAAGGGACCAAACATGCACTCTAACCCCTGTGATGTGAAAATTACACGTGCCTGCAACCAGCCTCACCTTTCCAGGGTCCTAACGGCTGCATGTGGATCCGTGGCAGCGATGTGAGAGTGACGCTCCGTGCGATGCTGGCATGCCCTCCCCAATGTGATGTGAGCATCACACGTTCTCCAACACACACACTCGCAGTGAAGCACACCTTGCCAGCAAAAAAGCTCTGAGAATGCTTGCAACCAGCCTCACCTTGCCGGGGTCCTGCCGGCCGCCAGTAGACCCGTGGCTTCGATGCGAGAGTGACGCTCCGTGAGATGCTGGCATGCCCTTGAAACCCCACCGCTTCATGGGACCCTGTGGAACGAGGGGAGAAGGGAGAAGGGGGGTGGTGGAGAGATAGGAGGATGAATGGGGTAACAGGAGGAAGATTGATGGTTCAGCGTGGCATGCTGGCATGCCCTTGAAACCCCACCGCTTCATGGGACCCTGTGGAACGAGGAAGGAGGAAAGCGGAGGGGAGGGAAAAGGAAGACGTTAGGGAAAGTGGGAGGGAGATAGGTGGGAGGAACGATGGGGTGATAAGGGGAAAAGCAGCTCATCAGAAGGATAGGAGGATGAATGGAGACGAAAGCGCACTATCCATATGAAGAACAGAATGACACTGCAGAACCAGGCCTCATGATTCTTTCAAGTAATTTTCTCAGGCGCTTCCCACAAGGGTCATACCTGGAATCCTTTTCCCACAGTGGTCCCTGTGACGTCCACAAACTGCCCGGGAACGAAATGCCGCACGTCTATGGGCGTGCCCACCGGCAGAATACAATCCTCTGACACACGGAACTCCACTAGTTTTCGCTTCAGAGGCACCCCTGCTGCCCGGAAATGCCCCAGCTCCGGCTTGGTCAGCTGCTTTGGTTTTTTCTGCCCCGACCCGATCTGGAGGGAAGTGTAGCCCTCTTTTTCCCTTGTTTTCACCTGTGGGGGGGTAAGGGGTTGTGGATGAAAGGAACGAAGGCCAGAAGGAGGGTTACGAGCGGAGGCATCCCTTCCTGTGGGGGGGTAAGGAGTTTCTCCCTTCCTTCTAGGGTTGTTCGTAACCCATTTCTTGTAACACCTTTCCCAGCCAAGGCTTCTTTTTTCCGGCTCCACCCTAATCACCATTCACAGTAAAACCTGCCCCAGTTATACCTCCCGCAGTCGCACTATCTAGGTATAACTGCCCCAACCACAGCACATCTACCTAACCCAGTCGTCCCTACCCCCTACCCCAGTTGTCCCTACCCCAGGAGTAGGTCCCTACCGATGTCACAGCTGCACGACTTGGTTGTCGTCTATCCAGAGCACAGTCAGGCATATACCTACCCACCCCAATCGTACCCACCCCAATCGTACCCACCCCAATCGTACCCACCCCAATCGTACCCACCCCAATCGTACCCACCCCAATCGTACCCACCCCAATCGTACCCACCCCAATCGTACCCACCCCAATCGTACCCACCCCAATCGTACCCACCCCAATCGTACCCACCCCAATCGTACCCACCCCAATCGTACCCACCCCAATCGTACCCACCCCAATCGTACCCACCCCAATCGTACCCACCCCAATCGTACCCACCCCAATCGTACCCACCCCAATCGTACCCACCCCAATCGTACCCACCCCAATCGTACCCACCCCAATCGTACCCACCCCAATCGTACCCACCCCAATCGTACCCACCCCAATCGTACCCACCCCAATCGTACCCACCCCAATCGTACCCACCCCAATCGTACCACCCCAATCGTACCCACCCCAATCGTACCCACCCCAGTCGTACCCACCCCAGTCGTACCCACCCCAGTCGTACCCACCCCAGTCGTACCCACCCCAGTCGAACCCACCCCAGTCGTACCCACCCCAATCGTACCCACCCCAATCGTACCCACCCCAATCGTACCCACCCCAGTCGTACCCACCCCAGTCGTACCCACCCCAGTCGTACCCACCCCAGTCGTACCCACCCCAGTCGAACCCACCCCAATCGTACCCACCCCAGTCGTACCCACCCCAGTCGTACCCACCCCAGTCGTACCCACCCCAGTCGTACCCACCCCAGTCGAACCCACCCCAGTCGTACCTAACCCAGGACTAGGTCCCTAACCCTGTCGCACCTGCACGACTTGGTTGTCGTCTATCCAGAGCACAGTCAGAGGGATCCTGACCCCCCACTTGTCCCACGTGGCAGTCATCCCGCATTTCACGGCGATCGCGCCCGTGCGCACAGATCTCCCAGCATTCAGCCCCTCCTCGTCGTCATCCTCCCCCCATCCGCGGACCACCTCCTCCGCTTCCTCCGCTGCCGCTCCCGGAGCCGCGGAAGCGGCGAACGCGGAGTGGAAGCTCCGCGCGTGAAGATGTGCGGCGGAAGCGGAAGCGGAAGCGGAAGCGGAAGCGGCGGGAGTGAGTTGGGGAGGAGAGGAAAGATGCGCGGAGAGGAGGCTCCGCGTGCCGCTTGGTAACCCACGCAGCAGATCGACTCTCAAGATCTGATCGCCGGCGGCTGCGGCGGCGCCGGCGCCGGCAGCGGCGGAAGAATCAAACACTCTGGTGTATAGCTGAGACGCGGGAGCGAGGGCGGGAGCATGGCGAATGGAGTATTGTCCCTGTGGAGAATTGGGGTAATGGTAGGTCGAATGGTGATGGTTTAAAGGCGGGGTTCTGGCGGTTCGGCGGCTTCGCGACGCGCTTCTGACGCTCTGCGCTGCCACGGAGCCAAGCCGCCGGAACATGATGACGACAGCAGACGGTAGCAGGTACGACAGCAGACGGTAGAGTTAGGAAGGGCGCGCAAGCGACGAGGGAGGGGGAGCACTAACGGAGCGCGAGAAGGACTGGCGGTAAGGTCGTGCAAGGACTACGGGCGGCTCGTGTTTGGATCCGTTGCCTCACCGCGTAGCCGCCAAAACCACTAACTGGTGAAACCAAGGAGTAAGTGGCACAGAATTCGCGGTGTTGAGTGCTCCGATGCTACACCGATTTTTCGCAATTGAAGAAGTGTAAAGCTGCGCATTTGAACAATCCATAATGTTTAATATTTCTCTCGTTTCCTCCAGCATTGGAGGTGGGTGCTTTTCATTGGCTCGCAACGGTGGCGCTGGCGAGTCCTGACGAATCAGCGCGCTACTCGGAGGGTAACAACTACGAAGGGTAACGTTAGTCGTCATGGTTTCGCAAACGGATTCTCTCAAGGCTGAAGTTTTTGTTCTTGCATCAGTTTCCACATCAGTTCCAGTTGCGCTAAACCAGAAAAGAGAATCCCAAACACGAACGGCATCTCGATTCTACTCTCTCGGTTCTATTATGCTGTCGTGGATTACGGATCATCCTTTTCTTGCGGGATCAGCTATTTTTCTGAAAGCAGAGTGTCCAAGTAAAAGTTCCTCTGGTCTTTATAGCTTCATTCAGTAGTACTGCTGTCAACTCAAGGCGCGACGTTGTTTTTTTCACTCCTTTTCCCATCAGATCAGTTTCATTTTTCAACAAGCCACGACGACACAGAGTACGATCAGCTGGCGCACCTCGCCACATCCTCCCTTTCCTCACGATCTCGTTCTTGCAAAGACCACGCTTTCGCCGGTCAAGGCTTCAGTCTCCATGGTCCTGAAATTTTCAGAGGGTAAACCTCGTGCTTGTCGGTCAGAGCTTCTTTCTTCATCTTCCTGAAGCTTCCAGCAGTTCCGTCGCCCTGCGGGTTTTTGAAGCGCTTAGAAGTCGACCTCGTGCTCCCCCGTCCAAAGGGCTTTCTACGTGTTTCGTCGCCCTGCGGTATTTTCGAGCATACTCGACCTCGTGCACTCCTGCCAAAGCTGCGTTCCCCATGTTTCTGAATCTTACAGACGTCCCTACTACCACAGTCTGCCATGGGGTCGCTACCCAGAAGGCGATGCCTCGCCTGGCTCCTCCACGCCACAAGTGACCTTTGAGTTGACTCAAAAGTCACCTCGTCAAAGGCACATCTCCCCAGCTGTGACCGCCGTCCCCTTCCATGGAGTCGCTAGCCAGAAGGCGGTGCCTCGCCTGGCTCCTCCACGCCAGTGAAACCGCATCTGTTGCTTCCAGACTTCCCTCTACACCTCCCCTGAACCGGCTGATACGCGTTATTAGCAGCTCCATTAACGCCCCCTGCTTCAATTCCTTCAACAAGAGACACATCCTCGATATTGCCAAGACCTCCAAAGCTTTCGAGAATGCCAGGTTGCTGTCGGTAGCGTCGCACTCGCCAACTGGTTCTGCAGCGGCAGCAGTGGGTACCGACGGTCATACTGGTGACACGGGCAAGGGGGGTGTGAGGGGCCTTCACTTTTCTTCCCCGCATGTCAGGGTGTTTCATGCCTCTGCGCCGGCAGCAGTGCTCACAGGCGGAGCAACTGGAGGTGACACGGGCAAGGCGGGTGTGAGGGGGCCGCAGCCCCTTCAGGGCTCAAGCGAGCATGCAGGGGAGGCAGGGCGATCCAAGCTGGTGGAGGCGTTTCAGATTCAAGTGAGTGGCAGGCAGATGTGCATGAGAGGGTGCTAAAATACAAGCGAGTGGTAGACAGATGTGCATGAGAGAGTGCTCAAATACAAGCGAGTGGTAGACAGATGTGCATGAGAGAGTGCTCAAATACAAGCGAGTGGTAGACAGATGTGCATGAGAGAGTGCTCAAATACAAGCGAGTGGTAGACAGATGTCCGTGGCACTCTTCTTAGACTCAACTCACATGAGCATGCGGGGGAGGCGGGGAGGGAAGGTCCAAGCTGGTGGAGGCGTTTCAGATTCAAGTGAGCATTAGAGAGATCCGTTTGAGCTTCGTATCAAATTGTAGCTCTTCACCCATTTTCTCTCTCTCATCTCTCCCCGGTCTTGCCATCTCTCCTCTCCGATCATTCACTCACCCCCCCCTCAGGTGGCATCAGACCCTTTGCGTGGCTTCATGGTGGCTCTTCGGAATTCGGGGCTCAGCTTTGAGACAGGCCTTGCGTGTTTGAGGTCTCGAAACGCCATGCTTCCATTGTCGCCCTCTCCTCTTCCACCTCTCTTTCAAGCCGCCCCCCCCCCTTCCTCTCCCCTCCATCCCCCCACCAGGCAGCATCAGACCCCATGCAAGGCTTTATGGTGGCGCTGCGTAAGTCGGCCCTCAGCTTTGAAACCCATCTCCTCTCCCATCCCACCTATCCCACCTGGCGGCATCAGACCCCATGCGAGGCTTTATGGTGGCGCTGCGCGAGTCAGAGCTCCGTGAGTCATTGCGTAAGTCAACGCTATTGCTGACTGCTCACATTCTTGCCCTCTCCTTTCCCACCTCTCCCCCTGTTGCCCCCACCAGGCAGCATCAGACCCTATGCGTGGCTTCATGGTGGCGCTGCGTAAGTCAGAGCTCGGTTTTGAGACAGGCCTCGCGCTCAGGGACCTGCGGGTGGTCATCTCCGCCCTTCAAAACCAGGTGAGGCTGTGAAGCAGGTGAGGTGATGGAGCTACACTTATCAGGTCTTCGAAAAAAGGAATGCTCGGTCTCTCACTCAGGGACCTGCAGGTGGTCATCTCCGCCCTGCAGAAGCAGGTGAGCTGCAGAAGCAGGTGAGCTGCAGAAGCAGACCTATTAAGTGCCAAAACACCATTCCTGTCTTCTCTTTTTACTCCTAAACACTTCCAACTCCCTCCATTCCCCATCCCCAGATCCCCACCATTCTCATCCGCCCGCGGGCCATAGTGGTGAGTCTGGCGCACGTGAGAGCAGTCATCACAGCCAACCGCGCCTACGTCCTCAACACCTCCTCTTCCCCCAATTTTTGCCCCCTCCTCACCTCTACTCCTCTCCCCACTTCCTCCCACTTCCCCTGACTGATCTCCCGATCCCCCAATTTCAGATCCCCACTATCCTCATCCGTCCGCGGGCCATAGTGGTGAGTCTGGCGCACGTGAGAGCCGTCATCACAGCCAACCGCGCTTACATCCTCAACACCTCCTCGCCCCGCGTGCGCCAGCGCCTCATCCCCACCCTCCTGCGCCGCCTCTCCGCCTCCCATGCTGCCGCCGCCGCTGCTGGTGGTGCTGGTGGTGCTGGTGGCGGTGGTGGTGGTGGTGGGGATGCTGGGTGTGATTCTTGCTCTCCGTCCTCCCGTCCTCCCTCCTCTTCCACAGCTTCGTTTTCGGGGTCGGATTCGTTTTTCTCTGGAGCTGTGTCGGTGTTTTCGGATTGTGGGGGTGAACCTCAAGGGAGAGAGGTGCGTGGATCGGAGGGAGGAAGGGAGCAAGGAGGGAGTGAGCAGAAGCCGTTGGGGCGGCAGGAGCAGCAGCAGGGGAAGCAGGAGCGAGAGGAAGGGCGGCAGCAGGAGCTGGAGCAGGGGCAGGGGCGGGGGGAGGAGCAGGGGCAGGGGCGGGGGGAGGAGCAGGGGCAGGGGCAAGGGCAGGGGCGAGAGCAGTGGGGTTCTGATGTGTGGGGTGATGGAAAAGGCAGGTGTAGGGAGAGTGGGAGGCAGGTGACAGGAGTGTGTGGGAGAGGAGAGGATGATTATGGAACGAGGGGGCATGGAGAGAGAAGGGAGGAAATTTTCTTGGAAGAGGAGAGGGAGGAGAGGAGAGGGGGTGATAAAAGGGATGATGGGACGGATGGTGGGAGGGATGATAAGCGAGAGGAGGAGTGGTGTCAGGGGTGGCAGGAGGAGGTATCAGAGAGGAGGAGAGAGGAGTGGAGAGCTAGAAAACAGAGGGAGGAGGAGAGGAGGAGGAACAAACGATGGCTTGAGGATTTGGAGAAGGAGAGCAAGGGAAGGTTCAGTGAAGCTTCGCATGGAGAGGAGGAGGAAGGGGAGGGGGCGCGGGAGCACGGGGATGGGCATTTGATAGGGAGCGACGGGCAGTGGGAGCGATACGGTGAGGTGCTGCTGCTGGAATTGACTTCAAAGGATGGCGTACCTTTAATGTCCGTTCAGCCTGGTCAGTCAGATCGGCCAAGCCACTCCGTAAAACCAGACCTGTCCAGTCAGAAGACACATAGGGGGGTGGTGGTGCGAAATGGGACGGAGGGACAAGGGGTGAGAAGGGAGCAGGCGAAATGGAAGGGGGGGGGTGAGGGGGGTTGGGTGGAGAGCAAAGAGGCAGTTGGGAGCGGTGGAGAGGCGAGTGGAAGGGGTGTTGGAGAAAGTAAGATGGACGGGAGTGGAAAGGACACTGGCACCAGCAGCAGCAGCACTGAAAGCAGCAGCAGCAGCACTATAAGCAGCAGCAGCAGCAGAAGCAGCAGCAGCAGCACCACCACCACCATAACCAACAACACCAACAACAGCCAACACCCGCCCCACAGCACAGCAGCCCTATCCATTCCCAGGGTCGCACCCACTCCATTCGAATTCCAAGTCCTAGAAGCCTTACTAGACGAGGTGGGGGTAACCTTAAAGGTCAAGTACGCATCCATATTCCCGGGCGTGTACCAGGGCCTGAGGGCGTTTGCCGGGGGGCGAGTGCCGTATGAGCGAGCCATGGCGGAGCAAGAGGCGTTTCTGAGGGCGAAGAACGAGCTGCTGAGGCTGGAGAGGAGCGCAAATCAGATCTGCAACGCCGTTCGTGAGGTTCTTTCCAATGATGAGGTAAGAACAGGAAGAGGACGTGGCAGAGACTACGAACAGGATGAGAACGTATGTACCTGTCTTGATAGGCCTCCCTTCCCGCCAGGACTACGAACAGTGGGCAGCACAGCGAGGTGGAGGAGTTGTTGGACGACCACCTGAGGCGCATGGAGGAGGTGGTGGGGGAAGCTGCTGATAAGTGTGTCCTCATCCTGTCCTTTCCTCTTCCCTATCACAGGACATGGCGGAAATGTACCTGTCTAGAAAAGCCTCTCTTACCCCTGGTGCAGCAAATAGTGCCGAGCACAGCGAGGTGGAGGAGCTGTTGGAGGACCACCTGAGGCGCATGGAGGAGGTGGTGGGGGAGGGGAGGGGAATCTCATCATTTTTGTGTCTTCAACCTGTCCGTCCAACCATCTCCTTCAGGACATGGCAGAGATGTATTTGTCTAGGAAATCCGCGCTCCCCCCGGGAACTATCAACAGTGTGGAGCACAGCGAGGTGGAGGAGTTGTTGGAGGATCACCTGAGGCGCATGGAGGAGGTGGTGGGGTGGGGGAGGCGGAGAAGAGGCGGCTGACATGTGTGTGTATCTTCATCCTGTCCCCCCCCCTCCCCTACATCAGGACATGGCAGAGATGTACCTGTCGCGGAAATCAGCGCTACCGCCCGGTACTACTAACAGTGCGGAGCACAGCGAGGTGGAGGAGCTGCTGGAGGATCACCTGTGGCGCATGGAGGAGGTGGTGGGGAGGGGGCTTACATGCTCCTCCCACAACCCATTTCTTCCCTTACCTGCAGGACATGGCAGAGATGTACCTGTCAAGGAAAGGTGCGCTCCCCCCTGGGACTGCGAACAGTGCGGAGCACAGCGAGGTGGAGGAGCTGTTGGAGGACCACCTGAGGCGCATGGAGGAGGTGGTGGGGGAGGCGGAGCAGCTGCTGTCCATGTCCGATGCCACCTCGGAGTACCTCAGAACAGCACTGGACAGGTGGGTTATTGATGATAATGGGGTGAGTGGCGATAGAGGAGTGAGAGTGGTGTGGGTGGCACTGGTAGAGGAAGAGGCGGAGCAGCTGCTGTCCATGTCCGATGCCACGTCGGAGTACCTCCGAACCGCTCTGGACAGGTGGGTGAGGGACGATAGGGGAGTGAGTGATAGGTGGGTGATGGCAGGTAAGTTACAGTAGGGTGGGTGGCACAGGTGGTGGGGGAGGCGGAGTAGCTGCTGTCCATGTCCTATGCCACCTCGGAGTACCTCAGGACTGCACTGGACAGGTGGGTTATGATGATAATGGAGGGAGTTATGATGATAATGGAGGGGGTTATGATGATAATGGAGGGGGTTATGATGACAATGGAGGGGGTTATGATGATAATGGAGGGGGTTATGATGATAATGGAGGGGGTTATGATGATAATGGAGTGAATGACAAACGTTTAGTGCGAGTGGCGTTGGGGGTAAAGGTAGAGGAAGAGGCGGAGCAGCTGCTGTCCATGTCCGATGCCACGTCGGAGTACCTCCGAACCGCACTGGACAGGTGGGTGAGAGTGGCGGTAGGAAGTGATGGTGGGGGATTGAGAATGCCGTTGTTGGCACAGATAGAGGAAGAGGCCAAGAGCAACTGCTGTCCATCTTCTTCTTGTGTTTGATATTTTGTCAGTGTGTTGTGCACAGAGATTTTTATTATTTTTTTCCTAAGCGAGGTTCTTTCTTCCCCTGCATCACGCAGTGCGCGCAATCAGCTGATCGAGCTCGACGTGCTTGTCAACATGGCAACATGCTCATTCGCCGTGGGGGGCAACAGCCGTGTGAGATGAGACAACTACTGGGGAACCTCGTAACTTGTTGTTTTCTCCTAAATTGGCTCCTTTCTTCCCTCGCTTCATGCAGTGCGCGCAATCAGCTGATCGAGCTCGACGTGCTTGTCAACATGGCAACATGCTCCCTCGCTGTGGGAGGCTCCATTGCTGCTGTCTTCGGTGAGCCGTTGTGTGTGTTGCGCTGTGTGCCTTAGCTGCTGTCCTTTGCCATGTTTGATGTGTTTGTGTATGGGTGTGCGTGTGTAATTATGGGTTGAGGGGAGTTTCATTCACACGCTCAAGTCTACATGCTCCATGGTAGGAAGTTCCATTGCTGCCCTAGTTGTTAAGGCGTGCCGGCATTGTTGGTAGAAACTCCAATCTGGTGCGAATCTTTTATGTTGTTCATACCACTCTTATCATTGATTGCAGGCATGAATCTGGTATCGTCCTTTGAAGATAGCACATTAGCATTTCCCGTTGCAGCAGCTAGTGTTGCAACATTGTCTGCTGTTGTATTTCTGGCGCTAAGGACATACGCCAGACGGCGAGGTATTATGTAATTAGCTGTTCATATGCTCAACAATAACGTATCAAGTGCAAAGTTGCGCTTGAAGTGTAGTCTTCCTGCCATTGCACAAGCCTGAGAAGTTCAGCGAGCCTCATCTTCCTGTGCGGAACTCGGACCACTGCAGTGTCTACGTGAATTGAAGACGCCTCTTTGACCAGTCGTGGGGCAGATCTTACAGGTTGGGGAAGGCTTGCTTGGCCTTGCTTACGTCACGTTTGTCAGTGTGTGGTGTACCCGCCGTGGCATTGCTGGTGGTCTGGTCTGGAACGAAGCCTGTGGGCTGCTGCTCAGGCAAGGAGATAACGAAAGAGCAAGGAGATAACGAAAGAGCTGAGGACATGTTTAATTGGCATCAAAATACTGCACTTGTATCTGTAGTTTCAAAACGGGGAGCGTGATCCTGTTCATTTCAGGCTTGCTATGCGGTGCACAATTACCGAATCAGGCTTGACATGCGGTGTTCAGAAAGTGCGTTCTGAAATCCAAATTTGCAAATGCTAAAATCAAGCCCTAAATTACCGAGGCGTGCCTTCGGCAGCGCCTGTGCCAGCAGCGCGTGGAGTGTGGACGGAAAGCTTCCAAGTTCCAACCCCAGCCACGAAGCTCTTGACATTATCGAGGAATTTGCCAGGCGAGCAGAGGAGAGAAATGTGGACAGGAAGGAGAGACATTGTCTTCTCGGTCAGCTTCGGTTTGCTGGTTTCGAAATTGGTTTGGCTTTTCTGGTCTGGTTCGGCCTGATCCATTCGGCAATCTCGAGGCAATTCATGCATGATCAGAGTCCGACGTAAGCTCGCTTCATGCACACAGTCACCCATTTCAGCAACCACAAATCACTGGCGACCACATTTGCAATTCTGCTTCAGAGTTCTCAGGAAGCAGAGCACTTAGTTCCTGCATCGTAAGCTCCTACGCCTAATCGTTTTAGGCGGGATTACTCGTAGGCGATAGCCGTCTAGCCGTCGCACCATTTTCTAGTGCCAAGGGTTTTCTTATTGTTGAGAGAAGCTTTCTGTGCGTTCCCTGAGCAGCACGTATCGCTCCGTCGATCAGTCCTCCCTTGCAATTCCACTTCTCTTCGTGCAGTCTAGAAATGTCTCTCCCTACGTCTCACGCGATTTCGTCGTCCAGGCTCCACAGCTTGCCATCCCTCCAGCCATTTTTCGCATCTGCTAAGTCCTCCTCACCCGCCTGCTTCCAAAAAAGCATCGTCACCGCGCCATCACGCATCGGATGCTTCCAGAAGCCTTCGCCATCAGCGGGTAAATGCAATCCTGGGAGCAGCAGCGTTAGCAGGCAGCGGCGACGGGTGGGAGGGAGAGGTGTGGTTGCAGCCAGTCCGCCTACGGAGGACGTGGAGGTGCGGACCGAGCCGTTGACTAAGGAAGACCTGGTCAACTACCTGCGATCCGGCTGCAAGCCCAAGGACAAGTGGAGGTACGCAGATATGGAGGGAGCGAATCAATGCACAGGATGTTTAAAAGTTTTGACGTTTTTCAGGGTTCTAGGTTTCTTGGTTCCGCATAATATACTGCGGAAGACCAGTCAATATGCTTCGATGATATATTTTTCATGCAAATTTCCACCATCTTATGAAATTGCTTCCGAACAACTTTTCGCTCGCCTCGTTTCAATTCGTGCCAGGATCGGCACGGAGCATGAGAAGTTCGGGTTTGATCAGAAGACGCTCCAGCCAATGACGTACGAGCAAATCGCGACGCTGCTGGAGCACATCGCGGATCGGTTCTCGTGGGACAAGATCATGGAGGGCGACAGAATCATTGGCCTGCGATCGGTACGCACTGTAGTATAGTGTAGTGTCGTTATGCTAACTAGTTACTCCGGGGAACAATTGTGGAGGGCGACAGGATCGTCGGTATGCGATCGGTATGTGGTAGCGCAGTCGTCAAATTCTGACTTGAGATGTTTTCGAAAAGTTGAGAGAATACAAGGTAATGGAGGGCGACAGGATCGTCGGCTTGCGAACGGTGCGCAGCGGAGAATGTCAGTGCTGGTCTCCAGAGAGTTAAGAAGTTCAAACGAATGAACAAAATCACGAACGGAACGAGAGGTTCATTCATGAGACTTTCGCATGCGCTCAGTGCGTGTGTGATCGATAGGTACACGCATTTAATTCTGTCAGTGTTCGAAATTTATGTTTAAAATCGCTGCGTTGCTCCAGATTACCGAAGAGGGGGAATTCCATAATATCTAAAGTTGAAACGCGTCAACTCAAACCGAGCTGCCGGATTGCAGAGGGAAGGATGTCTTGCCTTCATAGGGTTTTTTTTTTTTTTTTTTTTTTGCTCTCCCTCCTCTCTATGCCCTTCTCTGTTCTTATGCTGCACGATTCTTGTTGCAATGTGTTCGCTTCTCTCTTCCTGTGCACACCCATGCACACCCATGCGCACCCATGTGCACCCATGTGCACCCATGCACACCCATCCGCACCCATGCGCACCCATGCGTTCCATGGATCCTGCCACCCTTGGCAGAACGGGCAGAGCGTGACGCTGGAGCCCGGAGGTCAGTTCGAGCTGAGCGGCGCGCCCCTGGAGACAGTGCACCAGACGTGCGCCGAGGTCAACGGTCATCTGTACCAGGTATACCCGTTATTGCAGCCTCCGTTACAGGGTATAAGGTTTTGTTCAGGGACTTTCACAGAGAGGTCAGTTCGAGCTGAGTGGCGCGCCCCTGGGGACAGTGCACCAGACGTGCGCTGAGGTCAATGGTCATCTGTACCAGGTACTCATGGGCCTTACTGCAGTGAGTTGAACGGGTATAGCCATGATAGGATGCTATCACTTTACTGGAAACTTTTAGCTAAGAGGCACAGCCTTGACGACAGTGCAGGGACGTGCGCTAAGTCAATGGGCATATCTGCCAGGTGGGTGTACCCGTTATTGCAATGTACCTTACAAGGCACAGGTTCACATTCAAGTACTGGCCGAGGAGAATGTTTGATTCTTTTGTTGCTGACTTGAATTGTTCTGCGTGAATGTCAATTGTTCTGCGTGAATGTCTGGCTGTGTGGGTGGTGGGTGATGGGTGCTGGTGGGTGATGATGGGTGCTGGTGGGTGGTGAGTGGTGGTGTGTGGTGCGTGATTGTTGGTGCATGGCAGGTGAAGTCCATCTGCGAGGAGGAGCACGTGGGGTTCCTGGGCCTGGGCTTCAATCCGAAGCACACTCTGGAGGAGATCCCCATCATGCCCAAGGTGAGCTGAGCTGAGCTGCATGCGTAGTGTATAGAGCCGAGCCGACCCACATCATACCTGAAGTCGATCTGTGAGGAGGAGCACGTGGGGTTCCTGGGCCTGGGCTTTAACCCCAAGCACACTCTGGAGGAGATTCCCATCATGCCCAAGGTGAGCTGCGATCCCCATCATGCTCAGTGCTTGAGATGCTGCCTTTCCTTGCCCCCGTTCCCTTCCTGCTACCCTTCTCAACTCTCATTCCCTTTTCTCCCCACCCCCATCCCCCATTCCCCCTTCTCCACCCCCACCCCCCCCCACCCCCCCCAGGGTCGCTACACCATAATGCGCAACTACATGCCCAAGGTGGGCTCGCTGGGGCTGGAGATGATGTTTCGCACGTGCACGGTGCAGGTCAACCTCGACTTTGACTCCGAGCAGGACATGGTTGACAAGTTCCGTGTTGGCCTCGCGCTACAGCCAGTAAGTGCTCTGCTACAGCCGGTGAGATGAAGCACAGAGTTGAGCCCCACTGGTGGTGCACGGTGCAGGTCAACCTCGACTTTGACTCCGAGGAGGACATGGTCGACAAGTTCCGCGTGGGGCTCGCGCTACAGCCGGTGAGTGTTGTGCTACAGCCGGTGAGATGAAGCACAGGGGCTACCCCCCCAGGTAGTGCACGGTGCAGGTCAACCTCGACTTTGACTCCGAGCAGGACATGGTCGACAAGTTCCGTGTGGGGCTTGCGCTACAGCCGGTGAGTTGCCACCCTGCCGCTACAGCCGATGGGGCTGCAGGTGCACGGTGCAGGTCAACCTCGACTTTGACTCCGAGCAGGACACGGTCGACAAGTTCCGTGTGGGGCTCGCGCTACAGCCGGTGAGAGAAGCATAGGGGTTATCCCCCCGGGTAGTGCATGGTGCAGGTCAACCTCGACTTTGACTCTGAGGAGGACATGGTCAACAAGTTCCGTGTTGGCCTCGCTCTACAGCCGGTGATTGCTACAGCCGGTGAGTGCTACAGCCGGTGAGTGCTTGCTACAGCCGGTGAGTGCTACAGCCTGCGCTCGTCCAAAGCATGGTGATTAAGTTCAGAGTCAGTATAGGATCATACCCTCCCCTCCCCTTCCTCTCCAATTAGCAACCCTCTCCTTCCCCCCCAAATTTGCCACCTCACCGTGTTCGTCATGCCACAGCCAGCCAGGTTTGTCATCCCTTTCGATTGAAAGGGTGTCAAATTCCTGATCTCTGCTGATACGAGCTGGTCTTTGAGAATTCTCAAAAACCAGCTCATGCCACAGCCAGCCAGGTTTGTCATCCCTTTCGATTGGAAGGGTGTCAGATTCCTGATCTCTGCTGAGACGCAAGTCCCCCTCTTTGCTGAACCACCTGCTGCCATCTCTGCTGAGACGCATGTCCCCCTCTTTGCTGAACCACCTGCTGCCATCTCTGCTTCCACCCCCTCCCCGTCCACCCCCTTCCCCAACCCTTTTGCCATTTGTAATGCCAGGTGGCTACAGCCTTGTTTGCCAACTCGCCATTCCTGGAGGGCAAGCCGAATGGGTACCTCAGCTACCGCAGGTGCGCTTGTGGGAGAGGGGGGTGGGTGGAGGGATAATCACCAACAGTTACAGTCTCAGGTTGGATGGGTCTGGTCTGGTCTGGAGGTATACAAAGGTTATCATGTACCAGCTGTGTTTGAGGTGCTGATGGGAAGGGTACAGCTAGTCATGTGGGGTGGGGTACATGGAGGGCTCATGTGGCAGCACAGCCGCACAGTGATTGACACCTGTCCAAGCATTTTTCTTACATTGTGGTTTCAAGCTAATCTGGTCAGTCTTCTCGTCTCTAAGCATGCCTGTGCTTCCTTGTGCACGTGCACGGTCATAAAAATCAGCTGTTTCTGATCGTTGCTCCCGTTCGCCTTACTGCCCCTCGTTGCACTGCCCTCCCCTTTTTGTTGGTCCCCTTGCCTCATCTACTTACAGTCGAGTTTTTAGGCGCCTCAATGGTCGTCCTTTTCTCTGTCTCTTCCCTTGTCTTGTCATTTGTCCTGGCAGTCGAGTGTGGGAGGACACTGACAATGACTTTTGAGGCGCCTAAAAAATTGTCCCTTTTGCTGTTCCCTTGCCTTGTCTCGTCGCCTGGCAGTCGAGTGTGGGAGGACACTGACAATGACCGCACAGGGGACCTACCGTTTGTCTTTGAGGACGGCTTTGGGTGCGTTTCACCCCTTTTATTGGTTCACTCTGCTGTTTTGCGTGTGAGATTTGTTCGTAAGACTAAGGACATGCCAGCGATATCCTTCATCGACTCCTACTCCATCGATAATTCCGTTGCAACATTGGATGTACTTGTGACTGAACTTTTGTAAAATGTTTGTGTGTGTGTGTGCATGTGTGTGTGCATGTGTGTGTGTGTGTGTGTCCATGTGTGTGTGTGTGTGTGTGTGAGTGTGTGTGAATGTGCTTGTTGGGTTTGTTCTTCGTGACACCAGTTTTGAGCGCTATGTGGAGTATGCATTGGATGTGCCAATGTACTTCGCCTATCGCGACCAGCGCTACATCGATGCCACAGGGCTCTCCTTCCGAGTAAGCATGGCTGACGTGACGGTGATTATGGCTGTGTTCATAATGACAGCTTTGAGCGCTATGTGGAGTACGCATTGGATGTGTGTGCCCATGTATGTACTTTGCATACCGTGACCAGCGCTACATCGATGCCACAGGGCTCTCCTTCCGAGTGAGTTGAAACAGCATCCACAGCACATTCTTTCATGGTCATGCGCTTTCATGGTCATGTGCCTTCATGGTCATGTGCTTTCATGGTCATGTGCGAACATATCAGATGCCACCATCTCTTTGTTCCTCCTGCCTCTCTCGCTCTCATGCCCCCCCTACGCCCGTGTCATCACAACCTTATATTTTGTACGGCAAACTGGCAATGCTGTCAGGTGACTATCCCCACATATTAAGTGAGTGCATGTATGATGCCTCTTTGTTTCTCCCTTCCCCTTCATTCCTCCTCCGCCCCCCTCTCCCCTCCTCCGCCCGTTCCTTCAGGACTTCTTGAACGGCAAGCTACCGGTGCTGCCGGGTGCCTACCCCACTCTCAATGACTGGGAGAACCATCTCACCACCATCTTCCCCGAGGTATGGTGCTCTGAAAGGCCTAGAATGAGCCAAGCTCTGTGTGCTGCCGGGTGCCTACCCCACTCTCGACGACTGGGAGAACCATCTCACCACCATCTTCCCCGAGGTATGGTGTTTTGAGATGCCTAAGAAAATACAACGCTCTGTGTGCTGCCAGGTGCCTACCCCACTCTCAACGACTGGGAGAATCATTTACCACCATCTTCCCCGAGGTGTGGTGTTTCCCTCAAGGCTTTCCTGGAAAATATTCCGTGTGAATTCTTCTCGTGTTAAATCGTTGTGTGTGTAATTCTCTTTTGAGAATCTCTTTTGTGTCTTCATGTCATCACACAGATGCACACACCCTCCCTCTGTTGCCCCACCAACAACCCCTTGCTCTGCCACCAACCCCACAACTACTCCACCCCCCCTTCCCCTCCCTCACCTCACCCTCTCACCCCCTTCCTCCACCAGGTGCGGCTGAAGCGGTACCTGGAGATGAGGGGCGCGGATGGCTGCCTTCTCCGAGGCAATTCAAACGAAAACCCCACAACAACCCCCCCTCATCCCCCCTCCCCCTCCCTCCCCTAACCTCCCCCCCTCCCCCCCACCCGACCAGGTGCGGCTGAAGCGGTACCTGGAGATGAGGGGCGCGGACGGCGGGTCATGGAGGAGAATATGCGCCCTGCCCGCCTTCTGGGTGAGTGCATGCCTCGTGCAAGTCTGCCTGCTTATGCCGTTGTTACGCAGGTCCTCTCTTCTGCTCTGCTCTGCTCTGCCCTCTTTGGCTCTGTTGCGTGACAGAAATTAACAACGGCATAAGCAGGCGAAAGCAGACACTTTTTAAGAGGGTATGGCCACTTAAAGCACATGCGCTCTTCCCCCCTCCTCTCTCCCCGTTCCTCGTCCCGCATTCCCTGTGCGTCTCCTTGCCTCAGGTGGGGTTGCTGTACGACCGACAGGCGCTGGACGAGTGCAAGGCAATCATCTCTGACTGGACGGAGCTTGAGCGCTCTGCCCTGCGCACACATGTGAGTCTCCACACACACCCTTGTGATGTGAGTCTCGCTGAGGCTTGAACCTCACTTTGCCTCCATGTGTGTGTGAGTCATGGACCCGCGTGATGCGTGCAAATACACCAGCATGGCAGGTTCCTGATGCTCTCTCTCTCTCCCCCCCTCTTCTTCCCTGTCCCCTCCCTTCCCCTTCCAATCCCCCGCTCTCTCACCTCCTCTCGTCAACTTCCTCTCCCCTTCATCACCTCCTCCGGTTGTTCTCCCTCTCTCCCTGATGGCTTAAAAACCCCTGGCCTTTCAGACACCACACATGCCCAAAGTCCTAACCCCTCCCTCCCTCTGCCCGTCTGCCCAATCTTCTCCTTGCATGCATGATCCTCAAAGCGCCTTAAAATCTGCATAGCTGATCGGCTGCTCTTGCCCTTCTTCTGCCTTCGTTACCCTTCCACCGTTCTCCCTTGTTATCCCTCCTTCCCCCCCCCCCCCCACTTGCTGTTCGCCCTTCTCTCCCCTCCTTCCTCCACTCCCTTAACCTCTCCACCTGTCTTCCCTCAAGCTGCACCGCAAATCAGGAGCTAAAGCATCCGTTCCTCCCTACTTCTCCCTTTTCCTGCTCTTCTAATGTGCCCGAATGTGCTCACTTCAGGTGCCTCGCATGGCCCTCAAAACGCCCTTCAGGGAGGGGCTGCTGCAACACCTGGCACAGGACCTCGTCAGAATCAGCAGGGTGAGCTGGCTTACTTATGATTCTTCTAGAAAAGGTGAATCCATAATTAGCAGGGTGAGCTGGCTTTACTTATGATGGTTCTAGAAAAGTTACTTCATAATCAGCAGGGAGGGGTTGCTGCAACACCTGGCACAGGACCTCGTCAGAATCAGCAGGGTGAGTTGGAATAAACAGGGCTGGTTGAAATGAACAGGAATAGTTGGCGAACCAGCGAGATTCCATTCAAAGGCTTTCATTGCATGTTTTGTTGCATTAATATACTATCTGACCGTATGTCTGGCTGTCGCCTGTATCTGCATGTTGATTGCATCTGCTATTTTTTTTTTTTTTTTTTTTTCCCTATTCTTCTCTTTCCTTTTCTTTCTTTTCTTTTCAGGATGGCTTGCAAAGACGAGGGTACAGGGAAGGCAACTTCCTCAAGGAGCTGGAGAACATCGCTGCAACAGGTACAGTATATATTTTGGGAGTACAGGATAAGTTGGCCCTTATCCTGTCCATGCGCCACCGCTTTGACCACCCATGCTGATGATGAATCATGTCCTCGGATCTGACTCACCCTTGTATTCATTCGCTTCTGAACGGTTTATGATTTCCTTCTTGCCGCATGCCGTCCCATCGAATTTGTCCGGTGCATCCCAAATTATGTGTTCACCAAATGCCAGTTTTCCCATTGCACGCACCACATCTCTCCATACAGGTGTGACTCCTGCAGAGCGCATGTTGGAGGCATACCATGGTCGGTGGGGGGAGAGCGTGGACCCCATCTACAAGGAGCTTATTTACTAGTTATAGATAGCTATTCGATGTGCGCAATGAATGCAACCCCACTTTCCATTCTTGTCTCATACTCCCAAGGGGCAAGGAGACCCTAGTGGTCTAATGTCGGAGAGAGCTAGCTAGCAGGATCATTAATAATGACAAAAAATGGTGGATATTGAGAGCAGTATGGTATGGCTACCTTAGTATAGCACAAATAAAGGGGATATCAGTTAAACAGAATGTTGCTTGGCTTGTGGTGCATCTGTGTTTGATGCGGGCTCCATTTTGTATTAGGAAGGTTGATTATTCAAAAGCACCATGAGCAGGTTCAGTGGTCAAGTACAGCCTGTCTGTATTGAGAATAAGCGGTACACTAATGCGCTGCTGGTACCGTATATGCTGCATCATATACCAAGGTATTTGGTTTCCAAGGTATTTGCTAGAGCAAACGCGCTATAGTGAGTCATGGTATCATAGCTTGCTATTGGCGGCACTCCTTTTCTGTGATTGGCGCTGTGATTGGCTTACGCACCTGTCCCCGAGTTTCATGTGGCCGTTTTGTTTCGGCGGAATTCCCAAGGCTGGATGCATGACCGACCACTTGCTACAGAAGCAGCAGACCGGCAAGTTCACTTTCAGTTCACCACCCTGCTAATTTTCCTTGACAGCAGCACTGCACCACCCTTGACCCTACTAGACAACCTGAAACCCTGGCCCTACTATTGGTGCGTCACACAGATTCCTGAAATGTCTTTATGCCTGCATTGGTTTTGTCGTTCATTATTTTCCAGCAATATAGGGACGGGTGACGTTAGCAATGCCGCCCCACGCCCCCTGGCACATTCGGAAATTGGGGCCAAACCGAAAAACCCTCAGAATCCCTCGGGTCACCCCGAAACTCCCGCCTGACCAGGCGAAAAATCCCTCGAAAAAACCCTCCGAATCCCTCCGTCTCAATGTCGTATTCTTATGCGCATATATATGTCAGCCGTACTGTTGCAATTTCGGGGACATTGATCGAGCACTGCTCGACGAGCATTGGCCAATCGCCGTCGAGCACCGTGCACTCCCAACAAGACGGGTGACAGTGCCAGACGTCGCCTGACAGGCCGCGCTGTCGGTCGACGTGAGTGCTAACGGGTTTCGCAACCGGCCGACGGTCACAATCGACGGCGCCTTCAACTGCGGTCGACCGACCGCTTCGACGGTCGAGCGAGACGTCGCTGTCGGACGGGCGACGTGTTACGTAAGTCGCCATCAAAGGGGTCACCTCAACAGATGACGGCCACGTCAAAGGCCAAGGCCTTGAGGACACCTGTAAGGGAAGGGTTATCAGCCCAACAACGGTTTCAATGAAATCCTGAACTGGGAGCAGCAGTAACATCGTTTTTCTCAGTTAGGCCAGCGCTACGGCAACGAGAGCTTTCGGGTAGGCACGGATGGAGAACGATCCGTCGAGGACAACGCCTTTCCGGCAGGCAACGGTAGGACCGCTACCTGTCGACGTTGAAACCATCTCGACGCAATCCCCAAGGACGTCACAAGCCATACCGTGCTCGACACCACCACCCTCGACGTCACGAGCCATACCGGGCTCGACAGCTCCACAATCGACGTCACGAGCCATACCGGGCTTGACAGCTCCACAATCGACGTCACGAGCCATACAGTGCCTTGTCGACGTTGAAACCATCTCGACGCAACCCCCTATGACGTCATAAGCCATACCGTGCTCGACACCACCACCCTCGACGTCACGAGCCATATTGGGCTCGACAGCTCCACAATCGACGTCACGAGCCATACCGGTATCAACAGTGCCACCCTCGACGTCACGAGCCATACCGTTAGTGGGTCAGCCGGTTGCGACGGATCAACGCTCGACGGAACGTGCCGTCAATGTCGAAGTGGGGGGGGCACCGACCGAAGTCCCTTCGACGGCGCAATCCATACCTGTAGTAGTAGAACCGATTTCGACAACATCCCCCCCCTCGACACCGGAAGCGAATAACCAGCCGTCATCATCTTCGGCACCACAATGTTCGACAACACCAACGGAACCAGTAGCCGCTGTCCCGCGCTCGACTGGTGGGCGACGTAGGAGAAGGGGTACAGGTGTTCCGGCTGAGGTTAGGCCACCACCCCCAGCCGGTACATCCGCTTCGCGAGCCACTCCTGCCACGCCTATGCGCTCATCGAAAAGACCCAGCAAAGCGGACTTAGCCAGCCACGTCCCTGTAGAGACGAATGATGACGATGATGAACAGGGAGAACAGCCCGAGGCGGACGATGTCGAAGAGATGGACCCTTTGCGCCCTGCCGCGGCAAATATATCAGAAGAGGAGGCAGCCCACATTCTCGGTGACGAACAGGGCGAAGAAAATCCGTACCTGGCGACGCGAACTCTCAAAAGTGCGATTCACCGTTGTCAGCTTTCGGTACTGGCAATCGACCAGGATTCCACTCGGCCAAACTACGTCTCGGGTTTCATGCATTTCAAGGCTTGGGCCTGTGCAACCCTGGCGCCCGGAAAAAACAAGGGAGTGCCGGTCGAGGAGCAGGTGATCAACGAGGACGAGGTCGGGAGAGAGATCGGCAAGGATTTAGGGAAGGGGTGGAGGGCGGCGCTCCTTAATGAGGAGCACCTGCATGGGCCTTGGACGTTGAAATGGCGGTTGCGGGCTTACGTCGAGTACATGTCGACGGAAACGGACAAACATGCTGTTTCCTTGGATACCAGGCGGACCAGAGTAGCGGGACGGAAGCCGAAAAAATGCACCCCACCGATGATGCTGGCGCGCCTAACTGCGCTAGGGTGCTTGTGCAAAGTAGAGGCCATACTCTTCGACGAACCACTCACAAAACCGATGGACGACATCACCGAGGCTAGGCAGCTACTAGCGGTCAAGATGCGACAGCTGCACGACTATCAGTTCGAGTAAGTTTGCTTCCCTACCCCGTCGGCTACAAATTCTCACTCACTTTCTCACTTATTAATTGTTGTATCTGCCCACTCTATGTAGGAGCTGCGTCGACCCACATCGTGCCTCGCTCGACGATGTCTACACGGAGGAGCAGTTCCGCATTCTTGTTTCAAACATCCTGCCGCACTCGGCCAAGGTGTACTTCGGGTCGTCGATGGCGTACCCCAGTCAATCGCTGTGGAAGGCCTTGGCTGTGAGGGTGATGATTTTGATGGCGCATCACATGCTGGGCAGGGGGATCAGCATCCGTACGATCCGCTACTGCAACATGTTCACTCACGTCCTTCTGCCCATCAGGAACAGCCCGGGGGAATCGTCGATCCTCGTTCTTGTGGTCGCCTATCGCAATTCGAAGACCATCAAAGACAACAAGCTCGGCCACTTGTACCTGACTCGACACATCGACTTCCAGCAGTGCGGCTTTGGAGCAGTTTTCCTCTGGCTACACTTCCTTTTCGACCTCGTGCCGCTCTACCACAACAACGAGAATATCGTGCCCCCCTTGGATTTTTCAAACCCGGAGGCCTGGTCGAAGAAACACCTGTTCTTCGCCCTCTTCGACAAAGAGAAGACAGAGATGCCGTACCCGACGCACAACAAATGGGTGACATGGGCGATGAATAGCGCGGTGTGGATCCTGTCGAAAGTCACGCACATCTTTCGACGGTCTGCGGCACAGATCCTCGCGGACAAGAACTTAGACCTCGACACCATTGCACAGCTGGGTCAATGGGACATGAACGAGATGCGCAGGTCATACGTCACAGGCATCCCGCGCGCGGCCATTTAGATGCAAGAGGGTTTCTCGCAGGAACCGGGCGACTATTACATCAGAAGATCGAAGACCAAAGTGCCCCCGAAGGTCCTGAAGGCTATCGAGGAGCACATCTTTCCTAAGGCGGACCTGTGGCTCATCGAGGTATGTATATGTCGAGCACTTGGCGTCTTCGTCGAACGCAAGTTTTGCTCGCCCATCCATCTCTCGATGTCACCCCGTTCGTTTATGTTCAGGCCCAGGAGTAGAACAACGAGCAGGATAAGGAACATATGTACTACGCAGCGAAGAGTTTCTTGGAGGCCCAGCTAGCCGCCCGAATGCCCATCGCAGAGGATCTTGCGATGTACTATGTGTCAGAATATGGAATGAATGAATGACTGAACTAGCAAGCAGGTGGGTACAAGTAGGAAACCTAAAAGTGTTGTACCCTATAAGAACTACCCCACTACAGCCTAGATAGACTATAGCATATAAGTTTGACACACCCCCAGAGGCAAAGTGGGGGAGAACAAGAGGTCACAAGACCAGTCAAGAAAGGCAAAGCAAGCTCAGGGTGGATCACAAAGTCACCACGCAGTCTGAGCACAAGCAAATGGCCACAAGGCCAGTTCACATGCAGAGTTATATAAAGAACAAACAATACAGTGAACACAACCTAGCAAGTGTAAGCATGCAGGTATATGTATATAGAGTACAGGACAAGCAGAGTCAAGAAGTAAGCAAGTGAGGCATAGTAGGTAAAAGGCCTAGAACAGTACAGAAACGTTGATGATCACAAGGCTGAAGTACCTTGGTGAAAACATCAGCAGTGTTGGCCTGTGAGGCCACGTAAGCGAGACGAAGCTGGCCACGCTGCTGCAACTCTCGAGCAAGGAAGTAGCGCAGAGCAATGTGCTTCGTTCTGTGCTCCAGTCTGTGCTCCTAACACAAGGCCAGCATGGCCTTGTTGTCGACGTACAGAACTGGAGGAGAACGAGGCGCTTCTCCCAAGTCGGTCAGCAGGTAGGTGAGCCAGCGAAGCTCCTGTGCAGCCATGGCTCCAGCGTAGATCTCAGCCTCACAACTGGAGCTGAGAACAGAAGAAGAGCGGGTAGACCGCCAAGAGACAGAACCGGAACCAAGACTGAAGGTGTAACCCTGTGACGACCGCTGCGTAGCCAAGTCGTCAACCCAGGAAGCGTCTGCGTGACTAGTGAGGACAACTCGAGCCCGTCCTCCAAGCACGAGCCCCATGCCCGACGTACTGCACAGGTAGCGCAACACCC